TGTGTGTGTGTGTGTGTACCATCAAATCAGATTTGACTGGTACAGAGGAGATGGTTCCTCCTTCTCCAGCAAAGCATCTGGTGGATTTGAACCGCACACCTCTGGGATTGCAGTGCAACTTCTTGCCATTAGGCCACCAGAGCTCTGCATGTATTATCTTTAAATTGTCACGTGTTCTTTAGCCTGATATTGTCATCTTTGTTGTTGTGTACCATTGAGTTGGAACCAACCTATAGCTGATCCTCTAGCTGGTTTTCAGCTGGTAATTACACAGGAGGAGATTGCCCATCCTCCTCCCATGGAGCAGCTGGTGGATTTGAATTTCAAGCCTAGAGAATGCAGCACAGATTCTTACTACTAGTCACCAGAGCCCCATTTTATGAGGTAGACAAGAAAAATGACCCACCAAAGCTTGTAAGTGGTTGAGGCAAGATTTGAATTCAGTGATGACAGAAAATAATTATTGGCATTTCCTTTGTAAATTACTGTGGTAAATAGCTAGAACATGAAGTTTGCCTTTTAAACAGTGTTAAGTATACAATTCAGTAACATTAATTCCATATCGTATGTTGAGTCATTGTCACTACTATTTCCTAGTTGATCATCTCAACCATAAACTGAGTAACACTTAATAACTCAATACTCTCCTTTCTTCATGGTAACCACTAATACACCTTGTCCCTATACTACTGCCTCTTTTCCATATTACATATAAGTGAGATCATGTAATTCTTGTTCTTTTGTGTCTGATTCAACAGAATGAATGCTATAATAAACACTGGGGTGTGCTTCTATGTTTCAGACCCTGGTTTCAAATCTCTCAAATGTATGTAACTGAATGGTGACATACATTCCTTTAATCAAGGAAATGAAAATGGTGAAGGATATCTTAGAAACCATTTTTCAGTGTTTTAAAAAAATGCATATAAAGGTCACTACATCCTCTTTTATTTTAGACTACTTTTTAAATTTTTTTATTATGCAGATTTCCCCCCCTTTCCTTCATTGATATTATGTTTTGTACAAACATTGTGTTCTATAAAGTTAATCAACATTGAACTATGTCCACCATTACCCCGTCTGTTCAGGTCCTTGCCAGATTTTTCCCATTTCCTTTAGCCCCTTCCTCCACCCACCAAATTTTGTGACACTGTGACATTCTCACCCCTCTGCTCCCAACCCTTTTCCCACTTGGATTCCCATACATATTTTACTAATTATCCTCCCATTTTTACAATAATGGTCATATAAAGTATTTGTACTTAGGAGCCTGAGTTAGTTTATTCAGCATAATGCTCTCCATTCACTCCCAAATCATGTAGTATTTTTTTTAAATCATCGCTTCTGTGTGCTGCATAGTATTCCATCATGTGAATGTACCAAATTTTTCAACCCATTCTGTTGTGATTGGACATTTGGGCTGT